AAAATTATTAAATTATGTTAACCCAACTTTGAATTATAACCCAAGTCCAATTCTTATTTATTCAATTTTTGTTAAAGAGACTACAAAGCCCAGCCCAGCCCCAGCCCATATGAAAAATTTAGAGATTACAATTATTAAATGAGGAAATTAGGCCAGTGTGGCCTGGATACTTTAAAATTGATTAATGCACTTAATATTTTAATTTTTTCTAAATGCTTATTAATTACGTGTAGTAAAGAAAGATATTCAAAACCCCTCTTTCAATCTCTCCTTCCACTGTTCCCAATTCATCATTTCTCAGTGTTTTCCTCTTCCTCAAACTCCCCATTGTCGCCCCTCTCCGTTCTCTCCCACTTGGATCCGTCGAAGATTACCATGCTAGCACGGATCAACTAGGCTTTTCGGGCAACCGTCTCCATGAATTGAAGTCTTTCTAACAATATGTTTGAAACTTTTTTTATTGTCTGTCACTTTTTTATATGTATAAGTTCTTTTAATTTGTCACTTTTTTGATTTCGTTACTTTTTTAATAGTGCTATTTTGGTATTTGTCACTTTTTTTAACAAAGTAAAAAAGTGACAATTTTTATAAAAAATTGACATTGTTTCACTTTCTCATTTTAGGCAGTATTTTTTACTTTCTAAAAACTTTTCATATGATTTTTCAAAACAATTCTAATTTTAAGGGTATTTTTGTAAGTGCCCCTTATTAAATTGTGTTTGCCCAACTCTAGTTTGAATTATAATCCAAATCCAATGCTCATTTATTCATTTTTTGTCAATTTTAGCATTTTATTTAATGCATGTTTGACTAAATTTATTTATGATAATTAAGTAAATTTTATAATTGATAATAAAAATAAATTACTTATTTTAATAGTTAGAGACACTATATGTTTTGCTAAGCTTAAAAGTAATTAAATTTTTAATTTTACGGATGTTTTCATATAGTACTTATTCATATTTATATGAAATAGATATTATGATCAAAATAAACAACTTGCTCTAAATTCTATCTTGTCAATAAAAGAATATTTGTTAAAGTTTATTTATTTATAAATTGATTTATATATAAATATATTCTTGTAATTGAGCCAAACATGATTATGAATTAAATCTAATTCCTTGGACCTTTATAATTCTTAATCGATTTTTCTCACTTTAGATGTGATTCTTCACTTATTAGGAAATGAAGTGATATAGAAGAATGACGTCCACACCAAATAATATTTTGAGACAATAACATATAGTGATGTATTATTAATAGCGCGTCCGGCCAAAGCTTTCAATTGTTTGGGAAAACTGATCGTCAAAGTTTTTTAGAATAGTATTTATTAAATAATTTCTTAGTTTTTTTATTAGTGGATATGTATAATTTCATTTGCTTATTTCGATTATGATTTGGTCAATCTATATTTTTTCACCCATGCATTGATTTTCTATTTGGAAAATAAATATAAAAAAACCGATTGGGACATTTTATGATGAAACATCTAGACTTCTTTTATTTCATTGAGTGTCGTATACACTTTGTCACGAGTTTAGCCCGCGAGTTCATTCGAATTTTTTTAAGGGAAGATTACATATT